TTAGCCATGCGTCTCATTAGCTGGCGTGAAATGCTTCGGATTAAAATGCATTAGCTAGTTGCCTTTGCTACGAAAAACACTGTACGGCATGTTGCGACAGCGAGTTGTTATCAGTTTTTGCATTTCATTAAAGGTAGTGTGCCAGCTTTCCTGGACCGTATGGAGTTAATGGCCCAGATAAGGAGAACCGGATTTTTAGAACTTATCCATACCTTCAAAACTCATGGAAACGTCTTAAATTCTTCAAATTTTGAGTACCCCAGTGCGAAATTCGCCCCGACGGGTTGTCGGTCGTACCCCAACCACATTTCACACCACTATGAACAATAAATGCACACACTGAAATCGCTATTACCGATATGCTCATCCAATCAAGTTTCGATAAACCCGTTCATCATCAGCTCCTGCGGTTTCGAACACGCCTGTTAGGTGGTGCGGTAGACCACGCCCAAAGCCAGGGCCCCGGTAACGTGAGGTAGCCGAGTCAGGGCAGCGTGCGCTGACCCAAGCCGGAGCCGCGCGTCCTCCCGGTGTCATGTGATAGCCCGGGGCTGCCCGCGGGGATGCGGTAGACCGCGCCCAAAGCTGCGGCCCCGGCTTGGGTCAGCGCACGCTGCCCCGACTCGGCTACCTCACGTTACCGGGGCCCTGGCTTTGGGCGCGGCTTCTGCTCATACTTTGTGGTGCGGTGGTGGTGCGTCGGGCTGCGCGCTCTGACTTCGGCCAAGAAAAATGCGTCAGCTGATCATTGTCATTTCTGCCACTTGCGTGTGGTGAAATGGGGTCATAACTTATAAGACGGCTTTTTCATATCAATTATTTTACATAAAATCATATTTCAAACCATAAATAATGTTCGACAGCCAAATAAAAGAAACAATACCAATACGGGCTTACAGTTTAAGGCTCGACATTGTGTTGTCTACGATTAGACAGCTGATAACTCATTCCCGTACGTCGTATGGTCGTAACACTATAATGACCTTTGCTTATTGTCACAAGTGCGCCGCATTCGCGATTGTTGCCCGACGCCTGTTTGCAGGTGAGTCCACTACAGTTGTTATACATATCTAAAAACCGATAAGCTTTTAGGCGAAAAAGGTACTATTCCAGGCCCATTTTTGATTTTTTTTTTTGCGATATTAGGTAAAAACAGAAGCTTCTTATCCTAGGAAAAATAAAATGGGAAATCTTTCAAAGGTGGCACACTACCTTTAAATGAAATGAATACGTCCAACCCTTACAGTGCCATTTATTTTTGTTTTTACTGCGAAAGTGGCAACAATTCATCGCCCTGATAACATGGTTCTCTCAATTCTTGTGATGAATTCTTCAGTTTTTACTTTTCGTCGCCCTAGGTGCCACCCTGAACAGACGACGGGTGAATCTGAGGACTTCAAAGGGCCCTGGGTTTTCGCTCCCCGTTTGGGGAGTTTTTCAGTGTTGGCCCTACCCATTTCCTACCAACGCCATCACTATTTATGAGACCATTTCGTATTCGGCGCACCGGGCGCGTGCTGAGCAATGTGAGGAGCCGCTTTTAGCACGCTGGCCCGCTGTCTGCTCGCTGTCCATTTGTCTGAGTGTGCTGAGGGCGGGGCGGGCTGATCCGCCGGATCAGTCCTCTGCCTGCTGTCCGTCCCTGCTCCTCCTCCGTCTGTCCTGGATCAGGTGACAGGGAGGCCGGCTGCAGACCGGTGTCCGGGGGGTGGGGGGGGGGGTGGAACAGACGCGCTCACTGCTCAGACGTGCACCTCGCCCCGCCCTCTGCCCTCCCCTCCCGCCGGTACCGAGCCGCCGGGTCCGCCGGCTCTGTGATGAGAGGCGCGCGTGTCGCCGCCGGGGGCCGCGTGTCGCCCGTCCCGCCGCCCCTGATTTGATGGCGCCGGGCGGGGCCGGTGTCGGCAGCGGCGCAGGGCGCGGTCGGAACACCTAGCGTGACGGACACCCGTAGGAGACAGTCGGGGCCTTATTCAATCTGCGACGCATCCCCGCCGCACGCGACCGTCCGCCGCCTGGCACGGGCTGGCGCGTCGCCCCCTGTCGACCTCCCCATCCCTCCCCGTCGTCCCGCCGTCGCCCGGGTGAGGTCTCCAACAGAAGGTGCACCCGGCGATCACAGGCAGTATGTCTGGGTCTCGTACGACAGCGGCGCTCTGCCCCGCCCTGAGCCCGCTGACTGACCTTTGTCGGCGCCACCGGCGACTCCACGGGGGACCTTCTGGTGGCAACTGGTGACCTCTGACCTGAGCCTCACACGGAGGGATGCCGCGGGAGGGGAGGGGGAGGGGACATTCGACGTGGAAACAGTGGCTTCTGGGGCGAGCTGAATTGCCTAATGGTTAGGCAGCTGGTGTCAATTTTATACTCACATTTATTAGACATTGGCTGGAGCCTACTGAGCTCAGCGGCGCTGTTACATCCGACAACGCTCTATTCCAATAGGGAATTGCGATATGTCCATGCTATGGCAAATATTTACCGCAGGCCGCCCGATGGCTGTTTTATGGCGAGCAGGGAGAAGTGTAGAGGATTCTGAGCTGGCAGGCACTATCACCATCGCTGGAGATCAATGCAGTTTTGTTTTCGTTCACTTTTGTTAAGTTTACACAAAATTGATATGCCGGCATCCTTTGTAGTTTTGCATAGTAGAGATGTGTCATTTTCCATGCATCGAGTGTTTTGAAATCATTGAAGGATAGATCAATAGACCTTAAAATCGGATAGATATTGTTATAAGAAACATGCTTATCCAGTTGTATGCTGCTGAGTGATCTATTGCGCTCTCTTACTATGTATGTAGCTAGTAGATGAAAATCATTCGTAATTGCTTTGCATTTAGTATGTTTTTACACTCTGTGACGAGCTCAATTTAATTATACACTTCGGTAAGCATTCTAGCTCAAGCGACAAACCACAACTTCGTGTTAAGTGTCATTTTCAGCACGACAATGTGGCGAAATGATTCCATCATGGCTTGTTTGCGCGAGTCATGCTCCTCGCCACGGATTCAAACATTTGCGACATGAAATTATGCTCCAATGTGGCCATTACAGGTCTAATGCACTAATGCAGGCTGGGAGTGATGGATTGCTAATTCTGCTTCCTGAATTGATTCCAATTTATAAGCGGTCTGTTCCTACTTTATCGTCTGTGCGCTCCTTTTGTGCGCAGTCTTTGTGTCCGACTTTCATTTATCGACACCGCTGGTCCCATTACAGCAATCATTGATTTGCGATAATTTGATCCTGACTTGACCTTTTGCGGTTAAAGGGAAGCACAAAACCTGGAGAAACACTGCTCGGATTTCCACTTTCGTCCCAATTCACCGAATAATTGCGTTTTAATCTGTCCGAATGTTTCAACTCACGGACATAAAGCGTTTTTAGTGAGCATTGAACTTCATTGATTCGTAGTTCTAGTAAATGTAAATTGCGAAGCCAGTGTAACATGTTATAAGAATGGACGCTTACCAAGGCCTTTCGACAAGTTGGATAGCCATTTTTGTGTTTTTTTTTCTTTCTTTGGGGGAGGTATTTTTAATTCCTAACCATTCATTATTCATTCTGTTACGTCTTGAATAAACTTTCGCATTTTGTCGATTAAGATGCGTTTTCTGCCATTCATTGATGCGGGTACTCTAAACCAAGACCATTTCGTTACCGCCGACACGTTTTGTTGTAGGGCGATAGACCACTTGTCTGCCTTATGAGCTCAGCTATCGATTATTCAGCGCATCGTTAAGCCGGGGGATAGCTGAAGCCGAGGGCTCGCTCTGTTATGTATGGATACCAGCCGGTCTATTCAGTCATCATCAGTCGGGAGAATTAATGTTCAAATTATGCAGGAGGTGCTGGTGAATAAATTAGCCCGCGTGTCACAATAATGCGCGGATGACATTTTCAATAGCTCCTCTGGTGAGCGGAGCAGACGACTGCACTGGGACCACCGATACCCGCACCGACCATGTCAGCTGCGCTAATACAATTGGAGCTGGCTCATTACAGTTGGTCCTCAGAGCACTGGTACTGTACATACAGTTGGTCTTCACTAGAGGCTGGTCAGTCACAGCTAATCCTCAGGGATCTAGCATGAGTGCCACCATCTTGCAAAAAGATGTGTTTTGTATTGGGCGTGCACTCAACTATCCTTCGCTATCCGAGCTGCTCAATCTACCCGCAGAGATGGATGCTCGCAAAAAAGATGGATATTCGCATGCTACACCGTCCATGCAATTTGTATTCATTTGAACACGCGGATGGTATTTGTCATTTTGCGTGTGCTGCTGGGCGTGCAATCTTAGTCTCCCCTGCGCGCGGGCCCGCGGCGGATGATGAACTGGGGACGGTTCCGAATGAATATCTGTCCCCCGACATCCATGGAATAATGCATCTTCCTAAAACGGCTCCCGGCGGCCGCGAACACACGCCATTCGTCATCACACTGCTCGTTATAATGGTGTGCCCGGGCAGTTATATCTGCAGCACATACATGTAGAAATACAGTAAATTTCAGGCGCACTTTACGAGTGAAGCTTTTGGAACCTTCCTTTGGCATTGCACTGACTTTTGTGTTGATGGTTATGGGGACTTTGGTGTATGGCGCAGAGACGCGCAAATGCAGCGATTGTTCAGCCAATGGTTGATATTTTCCAGGACGTGTGGGCTCACAACTGATAAATCATTTCGTCCAACTTTACCATTAGCGAAATCGTTCATATCATATTCTATCATATTCTTTTCTACATCTATTTTTAGACACCCATTTTTTATATTCATATCTAGACTTCAAAAGGTCTTGGTTTATCAGCTTTACATGTCATCGATGATGACTTGCACCAAACATGTGTCAGTGTGCATTGTGCAGTTGAGTTGCAGCTCCAGTTCCACTGAACTTGTCCCACTGCAATACACGGTACCCATGTCGAAATCGTGATGTAGGTCTCACATGTCGTCTCGACTGAGGCTCATTGTTGACCTTTGGCACTCCTTTGTTTGCAGGCCAAACTCGAGACGAAGGCCCTGAAAGCCAAACGTCCCGGGTTCACCGATGAACGCTACACGGAGACGTCGTACTGGTTTGAGAACGGTGGGTCCGCGCGCCGCTGAGCTTTTCAGACGGCTCTGGCGTCCTGTGCCGACTATAAACATGTTTTCATTGCTATTAGCAACTGATTAGATTGCACCACAACTCGCACTCTCACATTCACATAAAAGACAGATTCATCATTCATCTATAAATGCAAACGATGCACAGAAAGAGAAACAATGCCATGATGTTCGAACTGAAAACTACATAGTTATTACGGTTATAACACTATATAGCCTTGCTTATAACCGTCAAAATAAACGTTAAAACACAGTTAAAACATGCCAACATTAGGCTGCGCTCGTGACGCCACACTGGCAGCGCCTCGGCTCTGTTTGGAGGCCGTGGGCTCCGAAAGTGGTGCTCGAAGACCGGACAACCATCTCCAGAAGGTGTAACCGCCGGCTTCGATCGGCCGTTCCGATAATATACGACCGTTTGGGGCGGCGTGCCCCGGCCGGGGCGGACGTGCACCTTACTACGGGAGCGTAGTGGCGAGGCGAGACGGTGGAACAAAGAAAGGCACGGTCGCCGCACCTCGCAGTGTCCTGTTAGACGAACCTGTTGTTAATCGAACCGGGATTTACAAACAGCGCTTCATCGCATAGGTACAGCCCACCGCTAAAGTAATGTAGGGTTTTACCAATCTCAACGGTTGGCTTTGACTGGCGATTGTTAAATGCGGAGTGATCGAAAAGAAGATGTCAATAGCTAAAGTTGCAGCTGCAAGGGTGACGATACATATAAGCTACATTCAAAGTTTCATTGTAGTCTGGCTAATCGTTCCTAAGCTTCAGAAGCAGAACATACCCATGACTGAAACCCCACATTACTTCTGCTGTGGACTGTACTATGTACTGGCCCACTGACAGCGTCGTGAACACTAAATGGTCCCCACGTTCCCTAGACCACTCATAACCGTTCCTTGACCTTAGGAAGCCAGTCAATGGTCCTAGCGTTCCTTGACCTGAGACAGGTCGTGAGCCAGCTATGTTTCCCGTCACCTCTCTGACCCAGCCCTGTGACCGGTGACCTCTGTGAGCCAGCTCTGTGTCCCGTGACCTCTCTGTGAGCCAGCTCTGTGTCCCGTGACCTCTCTGACCCAGGTCGGTGTCCCGTGACCTCTCTGTGAGCCAACTCTGTATCCCGTGACCTCTCTGTGAGCCAGCTCTGTGTCCCGTGACCTCTCTGACCCAGGCCAGTGACCGGTGACCTCTCTGTGAGCCAGCTCTGTGTCCCGTGACCTCTCTGACCCAGGTCGGTGACCGGTGACCCCTGTGAGTCAGCTCTGCGTCCCGTGACTGGGGTCACTGCCGCCGCCGCCCGTTGCCGGATTACGGGCCGGCGCGGCCTTTGATGTCGGACGGCTATGTGCCGTGTCGCCTGCTCAGTATTCATGCGCGCCGCCTCATAATCCGTCACCATTGGCTGCCGGCCGGCGGAATGGCTCCCGAGCCCCATCCCGTATCCCCTGCCCCCCCCCCCTTCCGCCATACGGCCCAAACGGCCCCGCCTGAAATCCAGTCGTGTACCGGGTATATTCTAGACGAAAGGTGTATTTTTTAACCATATGGAAGACGAACGTTAAATATTTCCCCACTGTTTTATCGGCGGGAGCTTAGCTTACACGTTGAATATTGTAGCTCTTTCCCTCACATCTGTATTGCCAAATGCATTTAGCTAAGTCAAGGTAAATAAATTAAACATTGTTTTCCAATCCCAGTGCCTTGAGGTGTCTGACTGAATGTTCCTAGCATATCATTGTTGAGACGTCTCTCTTTAATTAGTCAATCCTTAATGATCGAACACATTCATCTTTGACGAGCCATTGCTGCCTAGTGACTACTGAGAGGGAAGGCAAAAACTTCTCTGAAAACACGGCGACTTGAGTCGTCCAAAGTTTAGAGGTGGCTCAGCAATGGAAATACTTTCGATGCATTGGTGGATGTATGTTAACAGCACGAATGCCAGTGCCACCTGATTTGAGAGCTTGTGCAGGTGACAGATTTACCATTTATTCGTTTTCGGAATACTGATTTTAAACTGTCTACAGTTACTGATGTTTCATAAAACTGTCCACTGCCTTTCTCTGTGGGATACCAAGATCATAGTCAAACCTGTGTGAGAAATACCTCGGAAGAGTGCTTCATATTTTTCTCACCCGACATCACCCTCAATTGAATCTCATCACTGTCCGTCCCTTCCCGACGTGATCCGTCTAGACGGTGCCATCCCCTCAGTTCAGTGAAGTCGGACGTTAGGAGTTATCTAGCAGAGAAGATGGGCCGCTCGACAAAGCCCGGCGTATTACCTAGGTGATATTAGGGCGGCATGCTCATCTCGGGGCGGCCGGCGACGAGCGCTCGTTCTCATTCCGTTCAGCCGGTTAGCCGCTTCCAACTAGCGAAATCGGCTCAGGGAAGTTGACTGGGGTGCTGTTATAACTTTACAAAAGCCAAAAAGGCTGGAGCATGGTGCAATTCTGTTTTAGCAAGCATAAAGCTAGGAAATGTACTTTCATCAAGTGATGCCCATGAGTTGGGCCGCATGATTGGAGTCATTTCATTGCAGGATGAAATGTGTCATTCAGGATAGGGATGACTGGAGCATCATTTTAAATGTCCTGGTGCAAATTTTTGGGAGGGTAGAAAAGGCTATCTTTCTGGAGCTCTAGCCTCTGTTACTTATTGCAGCAGTAAGTAACCAGTAACAGGGAGGGGTACTGGCCTTGATCAGGAAGGGATGCTCGGTAACGCCATATCCGCGGTCTCAATTAGCAGTAATGCTTTCATTTGGTACAGTCCACGTACTGCGCCTGTGATGACGCCGTCATTTTGTCGTCATGTGGCAATCGCCACCACACCTCACCAGCAGTTGCACGCCATCATTTCTCGGCTGGAGTTCCTCACACTGTCCCTTAGAATGTTCTCAGTCCTATATGTTCTGCTTCTCTGTGACTGTCAGGGGTGAGGTGCAGGACTTTGCGCATTCAGCAACTTTGCGGAGTGCGGGGCTTCCCTAATTTTCGTCGGCCACACCTAATCTAACTTTAGGAAGGCTAGTAATTAGTTTTGCAAATAAGGCGATGAACCGCCAACTTGGAGGCCCATTTCGTTATCTCAGACGGTTTTACTGCATCTGCAAGGTCGCAACGCTGCAGCATTGGTTACTAACGCACCGATGAAATGCCGATATAAATTACAAATATATATATATATATATATATATATATATATATATATATATATATATATATATATATATATATATATATATATATATATATATATATATATATATATATATATATATATATATATATATATATATATATATATATATAATACAAATATAATTTACAAATGGTACGATTTTCTAAATAGCAATACACATTACACAATTCATGGCTAAGTATAGTTGACGTAGATATGTTGATGCACCCATGCTCGTTTCTGTCCACTGTTTAGTTTCCAGTCAAATGATGGAATATTTTGCCGTTTTCGTGATACGCTACAAACATAGATTGCAGAATGCGTCCCCCACATAGATAGCATAGCGTAATGACGTAACGACCGACCATATATGACCATGTGTACCTGTAATTACTAACAACTAGCACGGACGCATTGACCGCAGTATTTTGGCCGCTGTTCGGTGCTGTGACGCTGCGCTGTGCCCCGCTCCCCCAGGTCTACGGAAGGTCTACCCGTACTACTTCACTTTCACCACGTTCACCAAAGGCCGCTGGGTGGGGGAGAAGATCCTGGACGTGTTTGCACGCGAGTTCCGCGCTCACCCGGCCGAGGAATACGTGAGTACTCGGTGTGGTCATTGATTTATTGGGACAGGTGTACTGGAGCGGGCTGTGTGACACGGCGCCAATTCCGGTGACACATTCTGGTGACACACACACACAGGTGACACCGCATCCCGCACAGGAGTAAGTGGGTGCAAGATGGTGGGTGGGCTTTGACCGCCGACTGCGTCTGTGGGCCATAAGCCGAAGGATTGCTCGTATCGTGAAAGTCTACTATGAAAGTCAACTAACACAATACCACTGGATTGATCTGCAGAGGGCATGGGCCGCAGTCCTGATGTTCTTGCGTCAGCTTTCATTTTCGCTCTTTGCCGGATTAATGTATCTTACTTGCTGAAAGAAAGGCCGTTGTAGAAAAGTCACAAAGGTAATGTTTTCAACCTCCAGTTCTGTCCTCCTCGCCTCCCTCCTACCTTTTTTATTATCTCGATTTCGATCCTCCTCTCTCCTCTCTCTCTCTCTCTCTCTCTCTCTCTCTCTCTCTCTCTCTCTCTCTCTCTCTCTCTCTCTATCTATCTATCTCTCTATCTCTCTCCCCCTCCCCTCTCCACTCTCCACCTCTACCCCGCTCGGCCGGTATTCCAGTGAGCGCCGGCGGCGGTCGGTATCGGCCGGCCGTTATCAGCCCGTGGGCCGGTCCCCGCGGCACTGAAACGCGCCGTGGCCCGACGGCAGTCGATTCGCCACGGCCGAGACCTATTTCAGCCCGGCTGCTGTGTGTCGGACCAGCTCACTGCTGTTGAGCACCGCGGGGTCCCAAGGCCTGCAGGCACTCAGCCGTTCAGTACCCCGTGGTTCAGCAGGCATTTGGCTGGCCAGCTGATCGGGTCTGGGAGAGTGGTGGCGGCGGCTGGTGCTATTATGAACAGCGAAGGTGGTTGTGGTTTTCATCCGAGGCATCCATTGAATGTAACGCATTAGTTAACAACTAAACATGCGTGACATTCAAAATTTTCGGCTAATAAGAACTGCTTTATTTGATTAATTTAGCATTGAACAGCTTATGTATATGTTAGGAGATATGGTAGGATTTCTTTATTAGGTAGATTGTGACAACCGGAGTCAGTTCATGCCTCGGACTGTTGGTACTGGGAAGTTTCCACTATTCCTCATTGTCAAAGAGTTTCTATTCTCGCCCAGTTACAGAGTTTCGCTTGATGGTGAACTACCACAAACTTTCATTCCGTAATTACATTCGTAGAACTGAGATTCCCGGGATACTCACTCTGATTACATTATGCCGACTGGTATGCACCAAAGTTCATACAGTTAGTGCAGCTGCTGTCCGAGCCTGCTGCTATTTTATGCGGGCGCACGCAGTGGCGTCCCGGCGGCCGCTCATCTGACTGGCCCGCCGGATCATAAAGCTCTCACGAAACTCGTACGTGACCGGGCGCCGTGATCGTGACTGCGCCGCTTCGCTGGTGGCCCCGGGGACAGGAGCGCTGCCCGTCGGCCATAACCGAACGTCGGCGCGGCGCTCTGCGGCATCATGAGCGCTGCAAGCCAGGGAGATTTGGAAAACCCTGCTCGGCCTGTGGTTTGTATCGAACTGGCAATTTACACACCATAGCAGCAGGGCTGCGGAGTCGAAGTCGGAGTCGGAGTCGGAGTCGGTCGGAGTCGACAGTTGTGACCGGAGTCGGAGTCGGAGTCGGAGTCGATTTTAGAAACCCGAGCCGGAGTCGGAGTCGGAGTCACCGAAAATCTGTCGACTCCGCAGCCCTGCTAGGTCTGCGGAGTCGGAGTCGGGAGTTGGAGTCGGTCGGAGTCGACAATTCTGCCCGGAGTCGGAGTCGGAGTCGGAGCTGGTTTTTGAAAGCCGGAGTCGGAGTCGGAGTCGGAGTCGCCGAAAATCCATCGACTCCGCAGCCCTGCATAGCAGCATTCAGTGAATTGCAGCAGGACTGATCATAGGTTGACGTATGCACGACTTGCTGTAGGACACATTTATTTTGTTGGATGCGAAATTCTCGTCTATACTCTCCCGCCCGTGTCTGAATGAAACGACCGAATTTCTGAATCTGAAGCCTTTATGACGTCATCGCTCCGGTTAAAACCGGTTCTATCTGGACCACCGCTGCCTCTGGTGGCTGCATTCTGTGAGAGTCAGGCAGAGTGCGGGAACACCGGCGCCGCTCTCCCAGCCTGTTCGGCCGCGCGGAGAGGGCGGGGGCGGCTGACCCCGGAGACAGGTTCGGTCGTCGACGCTGGTCGGTCCACGGCAGCCGGCATAAATCAGGATTCGTCGTAAAACGGGCGCCGAGTGTGCAGCGCAGAGTACCTGACCTCAAACGGAGCGCCCGGCGACCTTACGACCGTCCGCAGAGACGGCAGTACTTCCGCAGAGACTGCCGCACTTCCGCACACCGCACAGTCGTAGGTAGTTCCGCAGAGATGGCCGTAATTCCTTATAGATTGAGGTATCAGGTATGTCCTTCCGCAGAGCTCTGGCCACTGACCCCCTTGATGAGTACCGCACACTGCACTCCAGGTGTACTCCTTGATTGGCCAGAGCACGGTACACGAGGTGAAGCCAAAAGCCAGCTAACCCGATCCTGAAGGGTTTTATCACTCTTTTGGTGTGATATTGGAACCCCCATCCATCCTCATAGAGGACCCATGCGTTTACATTTGATAAACCCCTTAGCTCCATCCACTTTCAATAAATTTAGGAGATGCCATTCATCTTTACTTTCATGGTTTTGACAGTCTACAGGCAGGCTTTATTGCGACATATTTTGACAACGTCTTTGGTATTGGTCTCTTGTATTCTAAAAGTGTTGTTAATGCGTATTGGATCTACCGGCAAAATGCATTTGGAATATTACGATTCGACGATCGTTTCGCTGCACCGTGTGTAGTATGTAAGTACCCAACATCCTCATTCGAGAAGCGGGTCTGGAGTCTGGAGTCTGGACCGAGACTGAGTTTCACCACCAGCGCTGTTTCACAAACCACAAACAACTTGTCGCGCTCAGCTCATTACCGACAGTCCTAACGAGACACTCGAGCGGTGTGGGTGCGCCCTGGTGCTGACGTGAGGGAGCCGACGGGAGACTGCCCAGCCCCCACGGTCCCGCAGCCCCCGGCCCGAGCGCAGAGCTGAGTGCGAGAGCTACCAAAGACGACTGTTTACCAACGTCACAGGCCAATGAGAGGCGACGTGCCTGAGCCCTGCGGGGATTAGTGCAGCTCTGCTTAGAGTGCGATACGTGAAGTGCCTGTTGCGGCACTTGGTCCAGTTCCAATCAAGAATGTTTTCATTTTCCCCAGTAGGTGGCTGGGACTTCATAAATATTTTTGCTTTAGCCGACCTTTTCGTTGATAAGAGTAATGTTGCACACGGACCTATAGAAAATTAAATGACATCTCAATACAGGCTAATGGGCCCTGGTCATGAGTTCAGGTCATGAAAACCGATGTCATGTTGCCAATTACCTTAATCATTGTCGGCTCTCCTTATTTATCATCAATTACGCTATTTTCCTGGTGATATTCTAGATGATTGTCCTATGTCATGCAAGGACGCGTGCCGTCGGGCTCTCCGCCATCATGTTACCACGTAATGTCTCTGCAGTCCTCTCCCCCCCCCCCCAGCACTCCAATCTCATGGGTGTTGCCGTGTCCTGAGAGCACCACCCATTAGCGGCGTGGCGTTGACCTCGTGTGTCGGCCGGTCACACTATCTGTGCGGCCGTCTCATCCGACCTCTGATACCCTAACCAGCGACCGCCCGCCGCCCGTCGCCGCTGCTGAGTGGATGGGGTCTGTGGCGATGCGGTCGCTGGTCTGTCCCAGAGAGAGCACGGCTGTGTGTCGCAAAAGAGCGTGAGACTGGCTGAGGGAACGCGACTGATATGAATGTGTCACTAATGTGTCTTCAAACATATACTTTGTGCTTCCGTATGGGTGTTGTGCATTTTAGTGTTACTATTAGCTTTCGTATGTGTATTTTATCTTTGTATGTACTTTGACACTTGTCCCGAAAAGCCATTTACCATGGATGGACATAAGAATAAATGATGATGATGATGATGATGTGTCAGGGTCACTGACCCGACATGTGTCATCAGTCGGACGGACGACTTACCACTGCTGTCCGCGGCGGAACCGGGCGTCACTCGGCCGTATGTCTCTTAGGTCAACATCCAGTCCCGCACCGGCGTGTTGGGAGGAGGAGCGGGTCGTTTGAGGATCTGCTCGAGAACAGGTGCACTGTGGAGTTTCTTTAATTCAGGCTTGGTGCAGCAATGACCTACGTTCGTTAATTAGTTAATTGACTCAGCTACTGCACCGGCATTCGAGACTCGTTCTCTCAACCGGTGGGGCTATTTACTTCCCCTGCCTCTACAATGGGAAGTGGGTAGTGATTGTCCTGCCTCAGGTCGTGCCCAGTTTGGGGCAGAGGTCTCAGGCGTTATTAGAGCGAGCTGAAAGGTTTCCGCTAGCGATTCATTTGTTCCTGTTAAATTCACGGCGCCGAGCGGTGGCCTTTTCATCCTCGTCCCTCCTTCTTTTGAGTGGGTGTTTTTGCAGCTGTGCACGTACTCGATTTTAAGAGCTTTTAGCAGCGGTTATTTGAAATGGGCTCTTCAAGTTGAACTGAAAACAAGGCAGTAAACGTGAGATTCTTTGGTCGACAAGCACCGATCGATTAAAACTCCTAGCATTCCATGCTCGGTGGAACTCGTCTGAGATGTTGCGCTCAAATCGTGGCAAGATTCGTTAGCTCATGCTTATCTTTTTTATTTTTCTACACATTAGGAACGTTATCTTACCATAGCCGAATTGCACAATGTGCACGCCATTGCTATGTCGACTGGACTACGGGTGCCCTCAATTTGTTTTTGTACTGATAATCAACCGATCGTCATCGCAAGGCCCATTGCTCAGTGCCAGCGGGGCTTTCGTAATCTTGTTTCTTTCCAAAAGCTGGTCTTTTGTCGCGGAGCCGTTTCCGCTCAGATAACCACATTACCTCCCATGTTGTC